TTATCTATTAACTTTACATAAATCTATGCTCGTAAAACAAGAACTGAAGATCCCAAATTATTCCCATAATAATTTAATTGGTTTGATTTTTTCCTTTACTGTAATTGAAAATCCATGTGACTATATTCGATAAAACATCCCTTTTGCTCCGCTATATAAGGGGTAAAGATATCTAAAAGTTTGCCAGATATTTATAGAATTACATTAGTTTTAGGTTTTGAAAACATTTATTGTTTGCTTGTATTCCCCCATGAAAACATTGAAAAACACGGAAAAAGGCGTAGGGGTATGAACTCACCAGTCGAGAAACGAGTCGGTTTGGATGCTAAGTGTCAGATCGGGGCTTGATAACGCGCGAGGTTCCTATGTAGTATGAAATGATACATAATTGTAACTAATTAGACTTTGAATCACTAATTAGATAGGAGTAAACACTTTTAGACGCGGAAATACTTCAATTCAAGTGTTTGGAGTGACCCGGGTAGCATTTATGGACGTGTAAGGCTTGAATATGGAGTTTACTCTTCAAGAGTAAACTCCTTTAGGAGTTTACGGTCCAAATGATCATTCCCCATGAGTTTATGGCCGTAAAATCATGGTAGAGGTGTTCTTGGTTGCTAAATGGCCTTACAACACTTGAGGGTTGATGCTAGACTTGGTTTCAAGGCTTTTGAATGAGATTTGAACATCATAAGGACCATTTGAGGAGTTTACGGTAGTAAAGTATGAGTTTACAGACGTAAACTCTTGTGTTCCATGTTTTAATGTGTTTTGGTGGTCCTAAGTCAATTATAATGCACATAGGAAGGTTCTAAGGTTGATTCCATGGCTTAGGAAGTGATTGGGACATGAATTGACCTTGTAAAAGGAGTTTATGGTCTATGAAGCTGTTCTTGGGAGTTTACTACCGTAAACACATGAGTTTACAACCTTAAACTCATGTTTGTCCATGATTTATGGGTTTTAGTGGTTGTAAGTTAAGCATACAAAGTTCTAGGTCCAATTCCAAGCCATATAAGGTGTTTAAGGCACTTTAACACCCATTGGAGGCGTTTAAGGTCTAAGAAGGGGTGTTTACGGTCCAAGAATGTTCTTGGGCTGTAAACTCAAGTTTTTCCCATTTGTATATGTTTTGGTGCATTTCTTGAAGGGTTATAAGGTTCTATGTACTCATGGAAGTTCACAAAGGCTTTTGGAGGTGTTTAAGGGCAATTTAACACCTTAAAAAGGTGTTTATGGTCCATGAATGAGGGTTTATGGTCCAAGCATGTTCTTGGGCCATAAACTCATGTCCAAGCCTCATATGATAAGATTTTGGGGTCCTAAGCTCATGCATGCAAGTCCAAAGGTCTTAACTAAGCACTAGAAGTGATATGGAAGGGTTTTGGGGCTCCAAAACCCCATTTATAGGTGTTCACGGTTTGGGGAGGTTCCTAGACCGTAAACACAAGTCTTTGGTCCTATTTTATGATTTAAACACGAATTTGATGGCTAAATATGCTAATCCATGAATTAGGATAGTTACCTTAATGATTTGAAGCTTGAATTGGATGATTTTGGATCAAAGTCGAGTTTTAGAGAGAGAGTAGTGAGAGAAAGTGTTTTAAGAGAGAGAAAAAGATTCAAAATGATGTCACTCAATCCCTTATATAGGGGTTGAGTTTATGGCCCGGTGGAAATCTACCTGATACCGACGTTAAACGGGGCTTTTGGTCGTACCCGATTAAGATACCGTAATCACGACTTAGATAAACTAAATATTTTCCACATGAAAATATAAGATATTTTAATGTTTAAAATGTATCCCAACACTTATGAAACCTAAATAGAAGTTGCAATTAAATTAGTTTAAAACAAAGTTAACGGAAAAATTGAAACATAACGGCTTTATCTACGGAAATGAGTTACAGTGACGGAATAAATTACCGGTTATCACAACAAATGTGTTGATCTTTATTTCTTTCTTCTTTTTATCATTCAATGGGAATTTAAATCTCGTTGACGCTGGTGATACAGCCTCAGTTATATTGAATTTAAGAAACTTTGAACAATCGGTTATGCAAAGTAAAGATGTTTGGTTTGTCATGTTCGGACCACCCTGGTAATAGTTTATTCCACATATACTTATTCTTTTTTTACTTTATCAAATTCAATTTTAAACCTTTATATATATATATATATATATATATATATATATATATATATATATATATGTGTGTGTGTGTGTGTGTGTTTTCATTCTGGTGTCCATATGTTAAACATCTTAAACCTGAGTGGGACAAAGCTTCAAAGGCTTTGGAAGGAAATGTCAAGTTTGGTGAACTTGACTATGACGTGGAAAATGTATTCTTCATTATTTTTTATAATTTAAATTAATATTATTTTATATAATTGTTTAGTAATCGGTTATAATTTTTCAGGATATACAAGCAAGGTTTGGAGTAACTGGGTTTCGGTCTGTTTTTGCATTTGGTAGAGTAACCGAAAGAACTGCACATGCACTTGAAAAGGCTGGCCTGTCTTACCATGACAAAGTACAAGGGTGTAAAATGGAGTTTTGAGTTGAGGATTGTATCCGAATAAAATTTGTTTGACTTGTTATCGATATGAGACAATAATGACACCTTTAACCTTGGTATATAAAACTAATAAAGAATAATTTTATATTTGATCCAAGAAACCAAAGCTGAAGCTCCTGCATGTATTCCTCGGGACCCGAATTGCATGGTAAACACCGACAGAATGAACTTGCTTTTCATAGAAGGGGGTAAAGAAGATAAGGAGGCGGAAAAGTTAAAAGAAGATGACACCCCCGAGATAATTATAATTGGTCATAGGAAGATGTCACGTTAACAAGAATTTTGTATTCCTCCTTTGTATGTACTATAATTGGTATGGTTTTTTTTCTTTGCGTTATGCATATATAATGATCTATGTACAATTTCGATATCTTAGCTTTGTGTTGCTTGTTTGCTTGGATATAGTTGGGTTTAGCGACAACCTCAAAGAACTTTGTATGAGCAAATAAAATTTCAATAAAGGTGTTTATAAGGGGACGATTTGTGTGGTGAAATTATGTTTACAAAAGTTGGTGTGACTTAATGATGATATAATACAAAAATCTTGCGGGCTATAAAAAGTCTAAATTTATACTAGTAATCTTATGCCACATGTGTGTGTGTGTGTCTATATATATATATATATATATATATATATATATATATATATATATATATATATATATATATATATATATATATATATATATATATATATATATATATATATATATATATATGAAGCAACTCTTTTTTCGCTCAAGAAAACTTAGTAAGTTCATTGGTTATTCGGTTTCGGTTTATCCTTCAATCAAGGCTCTATCTCTCGTAATTTCGCCTTTTGCTTTTGAAAACATAAAAGATTCAAAATAAAAAATACATAAATCCATTGATTAAACCCTCTAATGGAAGGATTTACATTACAAAAAATTAGAGTATTACCGGTTGTAGCCGTCTCTGCTAAAAGTAGCGTATGTCGCCGCTAATAGTATTAGCGGCGACACTTCGTTGCTAAAACGTCGCTACTGATGCTTTGTCGCTGATAATATAAATGTCGCCACTAATTCGAGATGTCGCCGCTAAAGGCCTTTCGGCGCTGATAACCCGGTGTCGCCGCTAATAACCAATTGTCGCCACTAAAGGCGTCGTTGGTATTGGTATTTTCTTTTTCACATTAAAATTTAAAAAAGAAACTATATAAAAAGTATAAAAACTGTTATGATATTAATTAAGCTCATCCCAAATCCTTCTATTCCAAAATATTAATCACACATTCGTTTAAAATACTCATCCAATTATAGCATTCTATATACAAAATATATGTTCCACATAAATTAGCAATTACCAAATTACACATATTTCATATAACACATTATAACATTGTACTATAACTAACAATTACCAAACTAAAAAATACCATTATAGCATTGTACTTTCATAAACTAACAATTACCAAACTACACATAGTGCATATAACACATTACAACATTGTACTTTCATAAACTAACAATTACCAAACTACAAAATACCAATATATCAAACTATAACCAAACTAACAGTTACCAACATATAAACTATTATCAAACTAACAATTACCAATACTTGAAACTATTACAAAAGCAACAATTACCAACATTTGAAACAATTACCAAAATTAAATAGTTTTGTCACCTGTGATTGTGGCGATGGCTGTGTCGGTGGTTGTCCTGATCGTACATCGACACAACCGCAGAAGGTTTACGCCTGATGCCTGTGATGTGGCCTCGTCGAAGACCCAATATTCTTTCAAAACAATTTTGTGTATCCTTTGGTGTTAAACCGTTGGGTTGTGAAGAAGCTTGAGTTTGTTGACTGATCTCAGGGAGTAAAGCATTTTGTATTTTCAAGAAATGATAAATATCATAAAAATTAGATTATTAAATACCCCTTGATGATATAAACACTTATATAAAAATAAAAATTAACTAGGTACGTAATGTTGCTTGATTGCAGAACTACTAAATACCCCTTGACTATCAGTATTAGCCTTACAAAATGCTTCTATTTGAGTGATGTCCTATTTAACATTAAAAGTTAGATTAATTATAATTTAAAGGACAAAGTACACGAATGGTCCCTATGGTTTAGTGTTTGTTACGCGCCTAGTCCCTAACTCCATTTTTTAACCATGCCAATCCTTAATAGTTTGGTTTAGTGCACGGATAGTCCCTCATCTAACATTCCGTTTGATTTTGGAGTTAAAACCCCCACGTGCCTTGCACGTTGAGGGGTATTTCCGTCATTTTACTTATTCATCCTACCGCCAGTTTAAGAAATCGATGCGTTCAATTAAACGATCATACTCTACATTACACAATCGTATACCCAAAAAAACACACAACTTTGTGCAAAATCCTTACGTGAAAACCCTAGTATCGACGACTGCAAGAACAAAGAATTGCAATGGTTTCTTGGCACATTCGTGGTGAAATGGATGAAATCGACGTTGATCAAAGTTATGGTATGTTTGATTGACTTTCGTTTGAATGATATTGACTGTTAAAGGTTTAATTTTGTTAGCTAAAAACGATTCTCTCCTCTACAGCTGGACATCCGACAATGTTTTCAATAAGAATGCACCATGGAGGTGAGTTTACAAGCTTTCCTGGAAGGAAGTATATTCGTGGGAAGAAAACATTTGTTGATTTACTGGACATTGATACCTTTTCCGTTCATGACATTGATGAGATGATGGAAGACCTAGGGTATGCTTCAATAGGTAAACCACTTTACTATCACTTTCAAAGGCCTTTAGGCGATTTAGATTTTGGGTTATTCGCTTTAGCTAGTGATGAAGATGTTCGTTATTTGGGGAGTTTTGTGGCTAAGCATAAGTTAATTGAGGTATATATAGAGCATGACAAAACTACTCTGCACACCTATTTAATGTCCCCAACCCACAGTAAAGTTCGTATAACGGAGATTACTGAACCTCCATCTTGTTCAAAGACACTGTTCCTGGAGTGGCATAGCACACCTGCTGTTGACTTGGAGGATGACATGGATCACATGGAGAAAGAATCGGGTAATGATCCTACACCCACTGGTCATCTGGAGAAGGATTTGGGTAATGATGCTACTGTCACTGATCATATGGAGAATGATTTGGGTAATGATGCTACTCTCACTGATCATATGGAGAATGACTTGGTTAATGATGCTAATGACTTTGGTAAGTTTGGTGAGTTAGAGAGTGACAATGATGAAAGTGATGATAGTGATTTTTTTGTGGACATTGAAAATATATTGGATGATATTAATGTGGATATGCAAGATTTTGAAATGAATATCGACAAAGATGTGGAATGGGTTGGAGGGTCGTCTAACACTGTGGTTGATGAAGGCACACAGGATGAAGCTTTAGAGGTGATTAACACTGACTTTTTAGCATCTGATTCATCATCAGATGAGGGGATTAATGGTCAAAGAAAGAAATCAATAAGAGCAATTCAAAGGCACATGAGAATGATGAAGCACTTGTTAGTGAACCCTTCTATATTTTTCAAAAATTTGGTTCAGCAAAGGAGTTTAAGGATAAGGTAAAACTCCATGCCATAGAGACTAGAAGGGAGCTGGCTCTTGAAAAAAATGACAAGAATAGAGTGAGATGGGTTTGTAAGGGAACAATACCAAAGCTTGGGCCTAATGTAGAAGTCAACGATGAAGAAGAAATATGTCCTTGGGTCTTATTAGCTAGTAAATGGAAAAAAGATGTCAACTGGACAGTTAAAACGTACAACAAAGTCCATAAATGTCTTCAAACTAGAACAGTAAAAGCATGTACGTATAAATTCCTCTCTTCTAAAATTGTTGAACAGGTTGAAAGTAACCCTGCTGTTCCAATTAGGGCTTTGCAAGAACAGCTACAACGGAGGTTTAAGGTAGATCTTTCTAGGATGAAAACATTTAGGGCAAAATCTGAGGCTCTAAACCTTGTGCAAGGAGATTTCGTTACTCAGTATAGTTTACTCAGAGATTACATTGTTGAGTTGCAAACTCGTAACCCAGATACGACTGTTAGGGTTGATGTTGAAAGCGAAGGAAATCCACACAGTGAAACGAGGACATTCAGACGCATTTACATATGCTTGGGAGCTTTAAAGAAAGGCTTCGCAGCTGGAAAGAGGGATTTTCTTGGCTTTGATGGTGCTTTCATGAAGGGTCCATTTCCAGGACAAATTCTTTCAGCCGTGGTAAGTTTTAGTTATGGTTCTTTTACTTATTGTTATACATAAAAATAAGTAAAAATCTATTCATGATTGTTATTTATCATAAAATGCAGGGACTAGATGGTAATAATGGCACATATCCATTGGCATATGCGGTGGTTGAAACAGAGAACATCAGTTCATGGACTTGGTTTTTGAGTTGTCTTGGGGAGGATCTTGGCTTGAATACCAATTCTAATTTCACTTTTATAACAGACAGACAAAAGGTACTAAAATCATAGATTTTTTTTTTACTTTATTTCTAAATTGTTTACTAACAAAATCTATGTATGATTGTTAGGGTATTCTAAATGCAATTGTGGACTTGTTTCCTTGTGCTGAAAATCGTTACTGTGTTCGTCACATTCGGGATAACATGAGGAAGCAATGGAGGGGTAAACCTTTCGAAGACCTCTTATGGACATGTGCAACTGCAACACATGTACAACAGTTTAACAAAGGCATGGAAGAGCTAAAGAAATTAAACAAGGATTGTTATGAGTGGCTTAAGAAGATACCACCTCAGCACTGGTCTAGGTCCCATTTCACTGGTATAATATTTAACTCTAATAACATTCTGTATGTTTTCCTGGTTTGTGTAGTTTTATTTAATTGACTTTAAGTGATGTGATTGGACAGGGAGAGCACATTCTGATGTGATTCTTAATAACTTGTGTGAAACATTCAATGGAAAACTGAATGAGGGTCGTGATAAACCAATTATTACTTGCCTAGAGTTCATTAGGGAATATCTAATGAAGAAGATTGTGAATGTAGAAAAGGCCATTGGGAAATGTACTGGTCCTTTGACACCTACAGCTATGCAGACTTTGGAAAATATAAAAAAACAGGCAGAAGATTATAGATCTGTATTTTGTGGAAATGGTAAGTATCAGGTAAGTGGCCCTTGGATGGACCAATGCGCGGTGGATGTGGTTCAACAAACATGCTCCTGCAGGAAATGGGAACTCACTGGGATGCCATGCAAACATGCTGTTGCTACTATATGGGAGATGAGGAAGAATAGTAAGGATGTTGGAATACCAGAAACTTGGGTGCATGAGGTATATTGGCTAAAAACTTGGAAACAGATGTACTCATTCAAAATTGAGCCCATTAATGGGAGAAGCATGTGGGAAAAGTCTGTGTGTCCAACAACTTTGGTTCCTCCTAAACATCATGTCACAATTGGTAGACCAAAGAAGAAACGCAGAAAATCAGCTTATGAAATTGATGACATGGTGAAGGGTAATAGTGCATCAAGAATCCTTCAGTCGGTTACTTGTTCAAAGTGCAACAACATTGGTCATAATGCAAGGAGTTGTAAGGGACAAAAAGCTAATGCTCCTAGTGGTTCTGGTGGTCCTGGTGGTTCTGGTAAGGGAAAAGGAAAAGCTGGTTGAGGGAAATTGATGACATTGTCTTGATCTATTAGTGAAAGTTTATTTTGTTGGTTAATAGTTCTTTTGGTTAAATTGTGTCTTTTTGGTAAAACTGTGTCCTTATGGTTAACACTTTTGGGTAAATTATGTTTCTTTTGGTTAACCATTTTGTTGATGTATGAAACTATTAACCGTTTTGTTGATGTATGAAATTATTAACCATTTTGTTGATGTATGAAACTATTAACCATTTTGTTGATGTATGAAACTATGTTATGGAAAGTATGGAAACTAAATTACCCTTTATTAAATCCCACTTGTGCTATTGGTTGTTTATGTCGATTGTTAGCATATGTTATTGGTTGTTTTTGTCAATTGTTAGTGTTTACTTTTCCAAATAAGTTCCAGAAACACTTGATGAAAATACATGGCTCATAGAAGTCAAAATAAGCTCCAAAAACACTTAATGAAACACTTAACCAAAATATTATCAAATTCACAAACACTTAATCAAAATACATTCCAGAAACACTTCAAAACACTTCAAATTCACATACAACAACCAACTAGATGGATCATAGAAGTCAAAATAAGTTCAAAAAAGACAAACATCAGACATAGCATACTAGTTGGATCTTCTTAAGCACTACAACTTGTAAATAATGATTCCTATGAACACCCAACTTAAAATAATGATTATCTTCAGCAGTCGATTCTCAGCTTCAACTTTGTTCTTAGCCTTCAACAACCCTGGAATTATCCTAGTACATCGTCCACATCCTTCCTCATCAACCCATCCAATAAACTTACATTTAGGTCCCTGTCAAGTTCAAATCCAACAGATTTGCGGTCATTGTCACACAAAAGCTTGAGTTAGAATCAAAACGACCTTACCTTCTTTGTGCAGCCATAAAACTTCCTTCCGGGGTTGTCGTCGGTCCATGATGTCAGTATAACACTTGGTTGCCCGCAATTACATTTCATCATTGTTGATTTTTTGTCCATTAAAGAAACGAGAGATGAAATGAGAGAACAAACGTAGAGGAAGAAAAGGGGGATGCACTGATCTAGGGTTTTTATAGGATGAATAAGTAAAATGACGGAAATACCCCTCAACGTGCAAGGCACGTGGGGGTTTTAACTCCAAAATCAAACGGAATGTTAGATGAGGGACTATCCGTGCACTAAACCAAACTATTAAGGATTGGCATGGTTAAAAAATGGAGTTAGGGACTAGGCGCGTAACAAACACTAAACCATAGGGACCATTCGTGTACTTTGTCCTAATTTAAATAAATTGTTAAATATATCATAACTTACTTCTTTGAAACATGCATTGTTATACGAGCATGACCCCCCTCTGTTTACAACTTCTTGTTGTGCACATACTTCTTTACTTGACGCCGAACCCTTTAAAAATTCGGGCGTTTGAAAATGTTCGACTGCTTGTGCCCAATTTTCGTGTGACATACCATCGGGGGGGGGGGGGGGTTGGCTAATGCCCTTGGGATATTTGTAAGCCCCCGACATTCTGAAAATGAGTATGCGAATTATTTTTCGGCATCTATAAAGTCTTTGTAAAGTCGCATCAATGCTCTACAACAAATGAGCCCGCTCGGAATCCAAGTTAACCTTGTCCAAATCAAATTTATTCTACAAATACAAAAAAGTTAGTTAATTAAATATCAATCACAATTAAACTTAAAATATCATCCAAGTTACCTTTAGATGCACGACTGTGGCATTCCTAAAAACGACGGAAACATTATCCCAACCAGATACTTTCAAAGGGATGTTCATCCACATATACCTCCCAATGTCATGGGTAAACCAATTACCACGATTCCCGACAGGGGAATATGTGAGGTCTATGTCGAAATCCAAATCCACGGGCTTTCCCTTGTTTGCCCAAATCACTTTGATAGTTGAATGTTTTTTGCTAGGCCTCTTCTTTTTTTAGGAAGCCCAACTGAAAAATATAATTAAAAATATTAGTCACAATACTTTATAATAAATGGATAAAAATAACTAATAAATATATATCATAATGAGACTTACCATCCTGTTCGTGTTGTCCACGACCAAAGCCTACTAGAGGTGGCGGATCCCCGACTCCATTACCTCCATGTCCTAGGCCCATAACATCCTCCATCACGTAGAAGAGTATCATCCAACCAAACCCCATATGTAGCCTGTAAAATTACAATATGAATAAAAGTTACACATATTGCATATACAAAAATAATACACTTTCTATTATAGCACCCTACTTTGTTTTTTTTTCATCTATAACATTATGGTTTCCAAATGGCATACAAATACACAAACTACATATGTAATTTTCTTTACATACAAATACACATATAAAAAATAATACTTTCCATTATAGCATCTTACTTTGATTTTTTTTCATTTTGTTCATAATAGCATTCTAGTTTCCAAATTGTATACAATACATACATATATATACATACAAATACACATATTACATATACATACAAACACACATTCCTTTATAGCATTTTACTTTTGAAATTGCATGCAAATATACAGGTTAGGTGATCAGACATACACATACACTTATACATATAAACTTGTACATAATACATATATATATATATATATATATATATATATATATATATATATATATATATAAATTAACATATTAAAATACACTTATACATACATTCCAATCACAAATGGTAAACAAATATACATATATAAACATATAGACTTATACATACAAATTCATATACACATATGGCGCACGCACACACACACACACACACACACATATATATATATATATATATATATATAAACATAGATAATTTTTTTGTTTTCACCATATATACATGCATTTATACATACAATACATATACATACATTATACATACTTACAAAAACACATACAAATACATATGTACATACACATAATACAAATACACAAATACATATGTCGTAAAGGAACCAGGTTGTGTAATTTGGTGGAGAAGGGTGGTAGTGGTGGTATTCCGACAACTTTCTAACAAGTTTCTTTCCGGCTAAATTCCGGAAGAAAACTAGAAAGCCCGCTAGAGGTTGCAAAAATCTACAAGGACTGCAATAATACCACTCTTAAACATGTGGGAGAAGAATAAAAAATCGATGGAAAAGGAGGCAAAAACCAACTGTGGCCGCCAATTTTACTTCCTCGTCGCCGGTATTATGATCCCTTGTCGCCAGTGATATGGGTCTTTGACATTTTTGATGGAAGAAGGAATGGAGGCTGGGTCGGTGGTCTTGTGGCAGGAACGATGGCTGGACACGATCGATGGTCGAACGAACTTGAGTCATAGAACACACGATACACAGAAAGGAATAGAAAGGAAGTTGAATGGGGGGGGGGGGATATCTGTAAAGGGCATTAGCGGCGACGGGCATTAGCAGCGACGCGTAAGTGTTAGTGACGACAACCTGGAGGGAAAAGTCAACGCTTTTTCTTGTTCCGTTACAACCCTACAATTGAAAACAAATCGAACAGATGGGGCTCGTTTTACGTGGATTGCTATTATGTGATTATTAGTGGCAACATGTAGCTAATGCCATGCGTTGCCGCTAACGCCCCCATTTCTTGTAGTGCTAACCATAAAATGAAAATAACATGGCCTCGGAAATGGTATTATATATGTTGCATGCCCTCCATGCAAAAAGAAATTCTTTTTTCCAAATAGTCTATGCGTTGGATCCCTGCTTCCAAACTTCAAAAATAATATTTTGTATGTATTTTGAAGCGTAAAACACTTAGATGGTGTTTGTTTTGGAAGTGGTAAAATGTATTTAGTCTTTTTCCATGTCTGTGGCAGAAGATGTGGACCAAAAATATTTTTCTATACCTTCATACAAGATGTCTTTATACAAAAGATTGTTTGTTTTTAATGTCTTTTTCAAATGATCAAAGTTTACCAATATATATGAAGTCTTTATAAAAAAAATTGTTTTTATTTTTGTAGCCATTAGTTTCCATCATGGGAGTTGCACCCGAGGGTTGTCATTTTTGTCATTTTATCAAAACGGGTATATTCGTTAAGACACCAAAACTACACTAGGGAGAAACCGAAAAACCAAAATTGATACTACAACCAAGGCACCAGAAGTAGCAGCAAACACCTATACCATCAAAATAGAACAAAGAGCAAAAAGGTGGATGTTTGACATGAGTCTTGAAAACACCAGCAAAGTAATAAGAAAGGGCATGTAATTAAGATAACATGTGATCAACCCACTCAAATCTCAATGCAACCAACAACATGAGAGATAAACAACAAAGTAAAATAGTACTTAAAAAAGAAGTATATAACAAAGTGAGTTTGGAATTATGGTTTCGATGTTGGTATCAAGAAGCAAGTGCTTCTGAAGAGAGAACACAGTAGACAGGTTAAGCTTAAAGATGAGAGAAACCTATAAAACATTACTAGACCTGTACTAATTGATGCTTGTTTATGGCATTATGCGCCTTGTGTGGGATGGTAAATCGTAAATCTTGTTTTACAATATCCTAGCTTGCCTTGAAAAAATGAATCAGTAAAATTTTCATGTACAAATGTAGCGGATTAAAAGAAAAAAAAACCCCACATACAATAATAAGAAATTCCTAGATCTTAATTAAGTTATTGAGGCATTAACAAACAAAGCTAAAACAAGTATTCATTATTATTCAACTGAAGGAGTAGATTCACATCTAAAATATACAAATTTTGGAAAGTTTCACACCCCGAAACCGATGGCGGAAACATTCCAGGGTGGAGGACGTCATGTAAAGTATCACAACCAATGTACATAGTAAGCATAGTAAACACAAAACATTACATTACATACGAATAATTACATTGTTTGAAAGTAAAGAAATACATGTTTTATCTATATATTAGTATAAAAAAAGTAAAGACGTGACTTCCATATGCTCCATCTTCTGCAAAAGAATACGGGATACCTGTCTAATGTAGACCTGAGAATACAAGCAGTTTTTGAAAATATCA